CAATCACGCGCTCCGAAGGCGCTTCTACACAGCCAATCACGCGCTCCGAAGGCGCTTCTACACAGCCAATCACACACTGCGAAGGCACGCTTCCACACAGCCAATCACACACTCCGAAGGCACGCTTCCACACAGCCAATCACACACTCCGAAGGCACGCTTCCACACAGCCAATCACGCGCTCCGAAGGCGCTTCCACACAGCCAATCACGCGCTCCGAAGGCGCTTCTACACAGCCAATCACGCGCTCCGAAGGCGCTTCCACACAGCCAATCACACGCTCCGAAGGCGCTTCCACACAGCCAATCACGCGCTCCGAAGGCGCTTCTACACAGCCAATCACACGCTCCGAAGGCGCTTCCACACAGCCAATCACACGCTCCGAAGGCGCTTCCACACAGCCAATCACGCGCTCCGAAGGCGCTTCTACACAGCCAATCACACCCTCCGAAGGCGCTTCCACACAGCCAATCACACACTCCGAAGGCGCTTCCACACAGCCAATCACGCGCTCCGAAGGCGCTTCTACACAGCCAATCACGCGCTCCGAAGGCGCTTCTACACAGCCAATCACACACTCCGAAGGCGCTTCCACACAGCCAATCACACACTCCGAAGGCGCTTCCACACAGCCAATCACGCGCTCCGAAGGCGCTTCTACACAGCCAATCACGCGCTCCGAAGGCGCTTCTACACAGCCAATCACGCGCTCCGAAGGCGCTTCCACACAGCCAATCACACGCTCCGAAGGCGCTTCCACACAGCCAATCACGCGCTCCGAAGGCGCTTCTACACAGCCAATCACACGCTCCGAAGGCGCTTCCACACAGCCAATCACACGCTCCGAAGGCGCTTCCACACAGCCAATCACGCGCTCCGAAGGCGCTTCTACACAGCCAATCACACACTCCGAAGGCACGCTTCCACACAGCCAATCACACCCTCCGAAGGCGCTTCCACACAGCCAATCACACACTCCGAAGGCGCTTCCACACAGCCAATCACGCGCTCCGAAGGCGCTTCTACACAGCCAATCACGCGCTCCGAAGGCGCTTCTACACAGCCAATCACACACTCCGAAGGCGCTTCCACACAGCCAATCACACACTCCGAAGGCGCTTCCACACAGCCAATCACACACTCCGAAGGCACGCTTCCACACAGCCAATCACGCGCTCCGAAGGCGCTTCTACACAGCCAATCACACACTCCGAAGGCGCTTCCACACAGCCAGTCACACGCTCCGAAGGCGCTTCCACACAGCCAATCACACGCTCCGAAGGCGCTTCCACACAGCCAATCACACGCTCCGAAGGCGCTTCCACACAGCCAATCACACGCTCCGAAGGCGCTTCCACACAGCCAATCACACGCTCCGAAGGCGCTTCCACACAGCCAATCACACGCTCCGAAGGCGCTTCCACACAGCCAATCACACGCTCCGAAGGCGCTTCCACACAGCCAATCACACGCTCCGAAGTGCTTCTACCTCACATTTTGTGACGCTGCCTCGACTTTGCTTTTCAACCCGGAAGAACGAAATGTTTGGAAAAATGCAAAAATAACAATTTCCACTATGAGTGTTTTTAGTGTTTTCAGTGATGTGCATATCTGTTCACATCTCAAAACATGTTTAGGGGTTTCAGACCCTTTCAGGCCTGTGAAACTTTATGGCCACCAGACTTCTCAAACAAAGCCTTCGGTTGTGAGCGTGAATCCGAGATCGGGAACGGCTGAAGAGTTTTGGAGGGTCTGAGGTGTTGTTTGGATGGCATGGAAAAAGCGAGTCAGGGAAAACCTTTACTAGTCGCAGCAGGAGTCAGGGAACTCCTGTATTGGGAACTGCTCCCAGAATGCTTTACACACGGACCTCTCAGCTTGATTAGAGCAATCGCAGAGCTTCAAGAGGTCTTCATCAGCGTTATCAAGCACTTGAGGACCAGCTTACATCAAGCTGAAATATAGCACCTTTTCTAGTGACTTTGGGAATAGTCGAATACCTTCGGGAAAAAATCTATTTCGATTGTGCTTGTCAATTCTTATCGATTCCTAATTTCAATTCCAATAAGGAACTCCAATTCCATTCACATTTAGTCTTATTGCAAAACATTTATTTGTAGCTGAATATTAGGGATGATTCTTTATATTTGAAAGCCGAAATCCGATATATTGGCCGATAAATCTAAATCCAGATTTTGATATAATTTTTGAGAGCCTGATTAAAAAAACAAAAGTCTCACCATTACAGCATTGTCCCAAGCACACAATTATAATGTTCTCGTAATTGTATGTAGCCGATATGACAGACTTGCACTTTGAAGAGATTCCAATCATAGCAGTTCAAAAGTATGAAAGACTTGAGGACCAGCTTACATCAGGCAGAAGATCGCACCTTTTCTAGTGACTTTGGGAATTGTCTAATATTTTTGGGACGAAAAATCTTGAACCAAACCTTCAGATTCTGATTTTGATTCTGCTTGTCAATTCCTAATTTTGATTCCCATAAAGGCAAAAGAAAATGTGGATATTATTCACATTTAGTCTTATTGCAAAACATTTAATTGTAGCTGAATATGACATGAACAAAAATCAACAGGCTAAAGCAGTGTTTCCCAACCTTTCTCGTGGCATGGCACAATTTTGATGAGTAAAAAAACCCACGTTACACCACTATATAAAAATATAACAAAATTGCAGAAAACATGCATGGTTTCAAATGGTATATACAATGTAGATATTAGGCTATATTAAAATTAGTCACTTTAAATGTGAAAGCTTAACCCTTTAGGCGCCAGAGGTTTTTTCCTAAAACGTTCGATTTTGACATCTTAATTTCAAAAGGCTATATCTTAAAAGTGATAAAAGAGAGAGACTTTCTGTAAATTAGAGAAATATTAAGGATGACCCAAAGTTTATGTAGGGATTACATTTTCCCATCTAATTTGCATATTATGACGTCATATGGTGGCAGCAATCTTGGATTATAGAATTTTCATGAAAAGTCACATGTTTAAATGATAAAATGCTGCACTTCTTTCCCCCCAAAATGTCCCTCACCTTCTCTATGCTATATTGCACAATACTGAATGCTCAGGTATATAGTAAGTAGTAAACAAACTGTGTAAATCATTACTAATAAATGGTAGAAACAAACCGAATGCATGTAGTGGTTGGCCTTTTGCTGTAGAGATTTTCCATTTACTACATACAGTAGGCACTCTGATTCCATGTATGGGGCACATATATATTATTCATATGACATACAAACACAAGTAGACGAGACCTGTTCAGTTCAAACGCTCACTCGCACAGATCATGAGTGAGATGATACGAGCAGCGCGGCCAGATCGAGTGTGCACAGCTCGGACTACTGTCATTGTCATTGTGACTCCTCACCCTGCCTCCACGTCGCCTCCTAACTGTCCTATGAATACTTCGACCTCGTCTAACATACCCAGTGGCATTAGACAAAGTCTCCACCACAATACTGTCGCCGCGATTGCGGAGAGGATCTGATAAAATGGCTCACTCGCACACTAGCTCCGCTTTTGATCGCACTGATTCAATGCGCTCTAACTCAAACATTTTGTATAGAAACATGACGTTTTTTTGATTCGGGGATGAAGTATGACATGTCTGCCATCCAGTGGAGGGGAGGTCGAACGAAATTTGACACCCAATTTGACAAAATCGGCCGTTTTAGTCAGTGCCGCATCTTGTCGAGTAAACTCGACCGTGGCGCCTAGAGGGTTAAATCTGATAGGAAACACAATAAGTATGATATTCTTGGTGATGATAAAACAACAAAGTATAGCATGTTAAAGTTGCCACTGTTTGAGGGTGAGCAAAAACACACTGTTTGTGTGTGTCCCTTTAAATGCAAATGAGCTGCAGCTCCCGGCACAGGGGGCGGAGCTTCAAGAGCTTGTGTGTGTGTGTGTGTGTGTGTGTGTGTGTTAGCAGCTTCGAATACCTCACACAGACATGCACTGAAAATTTCAAAAACTTTTAGCCTTTTAAAAGCCTTTTTATGTTCAAACCGGAGTCGGAGTCGGACTCCAGAAGTGACGACATGTAGAGCAACAGGACATTTCTGAATCGATAGTTGATGAATTTATGAAGCTGATGTGGAGTTAACTATCTTCTAGTCATTGATTAGCATATTCTGTCATGATAATCTATAAATCGCGTTCCCGGGGGCGGGGCTTATGCAAATTTAGTGTTAGTGATGTCACTAACCCGGGAAGAAGCTCATTGTAGTTCCTACCAGCCGTTTGTTGTAGTCCTTAAAAAGTGATTTCTTTAAAAGCAAATCTCTCCCTTTGCTTTGATCTATGAGTGTCGTAACTTTGCAGATGTTGTTTATGGTCAAACGGCAACATTACACACTAACTACAGTTAGAAAAGTGAAATCAACCACCCCTTAAAAACACTATATTTGGCTTCTAGACTAGACGGCAAAGACTAAGACTATTCTCTGCTCTTCAAACACAAAACCGTTTATTGACATAGTGTTTCTGTGAGTAAATGAAACGCTGTACTTAAATATCAGTTCTTGATTTTCCCTTTCATTGCAAACAAGCAGAAATCAGATTCTGGATGGAGGCGGGGTGGAGTTACAAGGGTTCAATATTTGTAAAACCCACATACAGACGTAAAGGATGACCAATAGCATTCATTTTATAAAACAATGACACAATATAGAGAGATTCAACAGCGCAACGGCCCAACAGCGCAGTGATATATTCTTATTTGTAGCATTTATTTTATAAATGTTTCGTTTTTTACCTGGTTTTGTTCGATATGACGTCACACCAGTTCATTCTTCGAGTTCACTTGAACTATATTGTGACTTTTAAGGTGGTTTGTTGGTCAGACTGGGAAACCGGCTGTGTTTTCCAGCAGTAAAGGAAGACACATCTTATGTTATATCCTGAGACTGGTGTGTGTAACGCAGTATTGAAGTGTAACTGATGGTTCGTCTCTGTGTTTCTCCACAGCCTGCATCTTTCGCTACAACGCTCTCTCTTTAGTCTACCTTCTGTACCTGCTGCTACTGCCCTGGTTTCAATGGCCCAACAAACACACACTACGAGGTAAGAGTGTTTCTCACACTTTTGTTTTCAATGGCGCAATACTGTCTGACTAGAACTGCTAAACACAATGATTGCTAAACGAATGATATTGTGTGATATGGGTGCAAATTTCATAGTTCAGGATATTTTTATCGTGTTGTTGTGTGTGTGTGTGTGTGTGTGTATTTTGTTATGATACAATAAAAAAGAAATCGATCTCCAACGATCCCTCTCTGTCTAGTAAGGGTTGAAACTCAAGACTCGAAGTCTGTTTGCCAAACCACATCTTGACCGACCTTGATAATAGAGGAATCCATTATAACCCACAACACATTCATTCCTGCAGTTCTAGACTTCATCAAGACTTCAAAGCCTAAACCATGATGGATAAAGGAAAGTTTCTTTGGCTCTTAAACGTGGTTTTGCATTGGCTTTCCCCATCCGAGCTCCAGGCTGTGTAATGTGTAGGGGTCAGGGGTCGGGTCCGTTTATCTTTGGGCTTTACATCTCTCGAGCTCGTATGGCAGGTGTTCACCGGAGCTGATGGCATTATGTATTTGATAACTGGGTTTAAACAAGGCGCTGAACACGTATGATGGTTAATGCTCCAGCGTTGAGTCAGAACAGAAGTATGTGGGATAATAAAGCACTCAGACTAATTGTGATTGTGCCCATCAACGCTGTCATTAAATCCAGTTCTAGCACAAAGCTTCTCTAATTGTTGATCCATTATTAAAGTGCCCCTTTTATGCTATTTTAAAAGCTCCTAATGTTGCTTTTGAGTCTCTTACAACAGGTTTACATTCATCAAAGGTCAATTTCCTCATAATATACAGTACAGTCAAACCAACATGTATTCAGACACCTTCAACATTTCTCACATTATCACATTCGCCAAATAAAATATAATAAAATATGACCAGAATCAGTTGATATTTGACTGGTTTTGTTCATCCTTCTGTTAGACTCTCACACATGAGTTATGTTGAATATCTGTCAGCTGTTAAATTTAAGTACATAATTAGATAATACCAGTTTAGCTCAACCAGTGACCAAGGCTTCATTTCGAAACACAAATGACTTGTAAAGGCGATTCTTTCTTTTGGGAGACAATAACTTTATTTATCGTGCACTTTCGACTTTTCAACAATGTTTACATTCACAAACCTCTATTACACACCGCATGAAGGGAATATTCGGCAAAAAAAAACAAAATAAGGGCACTTTAAAGGGATAGTTCACTTTGAAATAAATTTTTGGTATGTTTTAGCTTACCTCAAGGGCATCCAAGATGTAGGTGTCTTTGTTTCCGCAGTAGTTTCAATTTTGATATTTTTAGGTCAAACCGTTCTTGTCTGTCAGTCATATAATGCAGGTCTATGGTCACCACCTCAAAGAGCATGCACAGAGAAGTCCAAATTAAACATGATTTAATGACTCGTAAATGTAAGTACACATTGATGGCCTAAGACACGAAACGAGCGGTTTGTGTGAGAAAACCAACAGTATTTATATCGTTTTTACCTCTTGTAAACACAGCCACGTCCAAGTGATCTGACGGCGCCGGCGCTTCGGTCTGGAAGTGATCTCTCGCGCGTCACTCATTGTTTACACAGAGATTTCGGAAGTGTTACCTTTCACTGTGAAGATCTAAACATATTTAGATATACAGGATATCGCAATGGAAGACGATTTCGATATATCAACAGACCACGTTGAATTTTTTTCGCAACCGCGCGAGAGATCACTTTCGGCACTTTTCGGCGCTTGCGGAAATGTAATATTCACATTCATGGGAGTTTCATGGATGCTAAATATATCTACATGCATGTCACTATTCAAGGTTATTATCGTTAACTAAAACTAAAAACGGCAACACTTTATCTTACAGTGTCCTTGTTACACGTTACTGTAGTAATAACAGTAGATTATGCATAATTACATGCAATTAACCCTCAACCAAACCCGAACCCTATAGTAAGTACATGTAATTAATTAATATCACTCAGTACTTAAATGTATAATTACACTGTAACAATGACACCTTAAAATAAAGTGTAACCCTAACCTCATAGTAAGTACATGTTAATAATTGTATAATTACTAGGTGTGAGAATCGTTTGGAATCCCTTGATTCGATTCAAATTAATCGTGAGCTCGACTAACTAAACTAAACATTATTTAAGGCTATTTTCCATTAGTTCAGATATTGATATGAACTGCTGTTGTGAAGTGTAAGCTTCATTAATAATGCCGGTGCGTCTCTAAACTGTCATTGCATTAGACATTCAGAAAATCTATTTGTGAATTTTGTGAATCGATTAGAATCGCGAATCACATGTGAATCGATCCCCCCCCCACACACACACACACGCCTAGTCAACGAGTGAGTGGAGGCGGGGCTCATTTGCATATTCATAGAACCGCGTATACTCAATGAGGCAAGGGTGTCGAGTTACATTCAAGATATTTTAAGGCATTTTAAGGATAAAAACGTTTATTTTGGTGATCAAAGATGAGTTTTAAGGGATGAAATGATTGATTACAGGAGGACTTTAATGAGAGAGTCGTTTGTGAGGTTGTTTTCTGAGTCGTTCATGCATCAGCCTGCAGTAACGGGGATGACTTGTGTTTCTGTGTATAAACGGGCATGATGACCTCATGTTGGGCGTTCACACTTTTTCTGTTGCCATAACAGTGTGTGTGTGTGTGTGTGTGTGTGTGTGTGTGTGTCTGGTTCTCTGTTGGATGGCATGAGGAAAAACATTCCAGTGTCTGATTCGCATTATTGTAATTCCTGTAAATATATTTATTGTTAAAAGTGCTATATAAATGAAGATGACTTGACTTGACTAAGATTAATTGTTAGGTATCACAACATTAGAAAGACAAGACATTAATAAATTATTGTTATTTCAAAATCCAAAATGATCACATCATTAGTCAATAGACTCCTGAAGTTGATTTAAAATGTTGTCATTATCTATGTATGTTTGTTTATTTATTTATTTATTTTAACTGAAATTGGTGGCGGTGTTTAAAAAGAAATTGGGATGAATGATATATCAGTACCATTTCAGTTTTTGGGGATCAATATTTCAAACCTTTATTAATTGGTCATGATCTTTTTCCCTGTTTTTACCTTTGCCGCTCATTTATAGTTAATCTTTAAAATGCTAATTATTGAATAACACTGAAAAATGTGTATCTGTACTTTATAATGTTGTGATACCTAAAAATTAATCTTAGTCTTTAGTGTTTTATTTTAAACACTATATGTGTATTTATTTTATTTAAACAAAACCATGTGGAATTTTTAATATTCACCCTTTATCAGAAAAATAATGATAAAAACAATATTATTTTACAATTTATATAATGATAATAAAGTATATATCAGCCTATCTTTATTGTAATATTAAGATTTTTTCTTCTTTTAATTATCCAAATCCTAGTCTAATACCAAAAAGCTAAATATATGATTCCTGGAGCATAAGTATTTATATTATTTGTATTATTTGGTCTATCGCTATGGCAGATTGACACACACACACACACACACACACACACACACACACACACACACACACACACACACACACACACACACACACACACACACACACACACACACACACACACACACACACACACACACACACACACGTACACTTGGCTTTCCATGTTTTATGGGGACTTTCTATAGATATGATTTTTATACTCTACAAACTGTATTCTATCCCATAACCCGACCCATCACAGAAACATGCAAAACACTAGATATAAATAAAAACATGTTTTTAACCAGTGAGCAAGTAATATTTCAGGGCGTATAGCCAAGTGTAGGCAAACCTGTACACACACACACACACACATTGTTTTACAATATATGGCTATTTCTATTGTTGTTATTATTATTATTATGTTCTAATTGTTTAGTGTGAATGTAATGTAGGCTATTACATTATATTACTAAAAAGAGATTTATGTCCAATTAAAGTTTCAGAATTTTTTTCTGTTGAATTTGCACTCTGAACATGTTGCACTTCTCATATCTCCGGATGAGCGTTATTGTTTTGCCAGAGACGTTCACCTTGCTTGAATTCCTAGGTCTGCAAAGATATCTCTCCTCTGTGTGGATGTTGTTGTTCTCAGTCGGACTCAAATGACGGTCGTCTACGTGTGTTTGGGAGAATCTGAGAGTTTCCCGCTCAGAAAATCCCCTCGACAGCCAGCCGCTGTAAAACCCAACCTGGCGGTGAACAGTATTAATGGTTTTAATGAAAACCATCTTGCTTTTTTTCCTACTGTGGATTAGCTACACATTCTGTGGCCGGGAGATCCGGGGAAGCCAGTCGTGAACAATCAGAGGCTTAGGAGAAAGCTGTAGGAAAATGTAGATCACCGCTACAGAATGTCAGCCTGGGTATATTTGGGTCAAATTCACATTCATACTCACAGTTTCCTCAATTATTGATGTGTAAAGCTTAAGTTCAGAATAGCTTGTTCTGCTCACTGACTTGGCTTTGACCTTTTACTGTAATAACTGATGCATATTGCATGCAAGGATTGTGAGATTGTTCTCAAAACTCAAAAAGGTCCAATATGATGTTTAACTTTACACTAATGGCAAGGTTTAAACGTCTTAAAGAGGCAACAACTCACTTAATTTTGATAAATTCTTGATCTAGATAGAATACATGTGTTTTCATCTAACATTAATATATGTGACCCTGGATCACAGAACCAGTCACATGTCACACGGATATATTTGTGGCAATAGACATTGCATGGGTCAAAATTGTCGATTTTTCTTTTATGCCAAAAATCATTAGGATATTAAGTAAAGATTATGTTCCATGAAGATATTTTGTCAATTTTTCTACTGTAAATACATAAAAAATATATAGTTTTGAGTGGATGGAGAAAAATTGTGAACAAAAATGGACAATTTTAAAGGAGATTTTCTCAATATTTTGATTTTTTTGCATCCTCAGATTCCAGATATAGTCATATCTCGG